TTTCATTGGTTAAGTTTTAGAAACCATTTATATGACATGAATAATACAGGTCAAGAAGTTAATGCTTTCTATTTTAAAACTGAACACCTTTTTTTTTTTTTTTTTTAGCCAGAATGCTACAAAAGTGTAACTTTTGATCACAATGCAGTGAACTGGTAGGGTGTGGAGTTACCTGTGGCAACTTTAAGGCACTTTGTATAACAGAGAACAAGGCCGGCCGCCCAGCTTTAGGCTGCCGCATAGTGACAACATTTTCTGGCAGAGACTGTGGGAAAGTTGGAGACGAAGTGACACTTAGCAAGAAAAGAACCCTAGGAGAGAGAGTGGCGGTGTAGAGAATGTCATCAATTGTAGAGAACGTCGTCAATTGTAGCAGTCGCTTCCTTTGCCCTGATCGACATGAAGGTGGGGTTGTCCAAGGTTTCCAGCAGGAAGCCGACTTTAGAAGGCCTGAATCTCACTTTACTGGTTTGGGAGGAGACTTGTCAGCGGTCAGGAGAGGGGCGCCTCACATTGTGGGAAGCGGTGGATGAGTCTGTAAATGCGGTTGGGACAACTTGTGTGGCATTCTGGAGAAACTAAGAGAACAACGCAGAATTCTTTCCTTGCCATTTACACCAAACCAAATGCAGATGGAGCCGATATTTAATTATCAAACGTAAAGATGTGGTGGTCCCAGAAGAACACAGGGGTGAATGTGTCTCTACCCCTGGGATAAGGAAGGCTCTTCTATGCATCCTCAAGCCTCAGAAGAGGAAATGATAGATAAACCTGACGCAGTACAAATTTAGCATTTCTGTTCTAAAAAGTTACTTTAAAGATAAGACAAGAGGTAAACTGGGAGATATATTTGCAGTTCACACCCAGACAGAAGGCTTGCTTCCTTAATATACAAAGAACTCTACACATGCCTGTGTGATTCACAACGTGTTAATTTTCTACATTGTTGTTGTTGTTAAACTGCCCCTGTGTAGGGTTTCTGAGGAGCAGCTAGAGGTATTGAACCGTCAGCCTTGTGGTTCAAAGCCCAGTGCTTGTCCTACAGTGCCACACCAGGAGTCCAAGAATGAACCTAGTTTTTTCTACATGTTGTTGTTAAGTGCTATCAAGTTGATTCCAACCCATAGCGACCCTGTTTAGGACCACCAAGGAGTAGCTGGTGAGCTTGAACCACCAACCTTGCAAATCAAATGACTTTGCAGTCTGACGCATTAGCCCACAGTGCCACACCAGGACTCCCTTTTCTACGTACATGACCTTAAATGCCTGCAAAGAAGGCTTATCCCAGCCTCTAGCTGGAGTTTGCCTTTTAGATTTCTTAGAACCACACTACATACTGCATTAATGGTAGGTTACGTTTCCTATGAAAGTACAGAGGGTGATTTGACGATTATTGCCATGACAATTTAGTGTAGAAAAGGCTTTTAAGATTGAAGGGAGCATGTCACAGGAGATATATTTAACCTCAAGTCCACATGTCTTAGTTTGTTTTCTTAGCAGAAACCTAAGAGGATGGAATTCAGAATAAGCTTTGCCTCTCTCACATATTCTTCGTTCTACACTGTAAACTACAAATTTTCTTCTAAAGGGTTTTAATGTTTACAATTCTTTTGCGTGTGCAAAAAACCCTTTTCTTGTTTCTCCTTACTCGGTTGCTAATTAGACACACCTGTTATTTCAAGACGCTGCCCTGAGTTCATTTGTTCTCTCTGGGTGACAAGGGACAGTCTTGAGTACAGTTAAGGACTGCAAAATGGAAAAGAGGAAGAAGCGTTGTCAGCAATAGAATCTGGGGCCTGGGATGCTGTGTGCAGCCTCCCATTCACTGTTACCTCTCCAGGGCCCATAGCAGGGAAGCCACTGAGCACCAAACAGCGACCTTGGTGGTGGTGGTGGTTGTAGTTTGATGCCGTCAAGTCAGTTCCAACTCACAGCAACCCTGCACAACAGAACAAAACAGGGCCCAGTCCCGCGCCATCCTCACGCTTGTTGCTATGTTTGAGCTCATTGTTGCTGCCACTGTGCCAATCCATCTCATTGAGGGTCTTCCTCTTTTTTGTTAACCCTCCGCTTTACCAAGCATGATGTCCTTCTCCAGGGACTGGTCCCTTCTGATAATATGTCCGAAGTATGAGAGAGAGGATCTGGCCATCCTGGCTTCTAAGGAGCTTTCTGATTGTGCTTCTTCCAAGACAGTTGGTTCTCCTGGCAGTCCACGGTACTTCAGTCTTCTTCTCCAGCACCATAATTCAAATGCTTTGATTCGTCTGTAATTGTCCAACTTTTATATAAATTACATGTAAGTTACAGAAAAGACCATGGTTTGGGTCAGCTGCACCTTAATCCTCAAAGTGACATCTTTGCTCTTTAACACTTAAAAGAGGTCTTGTGCAGCAGATGTGCCCATTGCCACATGTCATTTGATTTCTTGACAGTTGCTTCCATGAGCATTGATGGTGGATCCAAACAAAGCGAAGTCTTTAACAGCTTTTCTCCGTTTATCATGATGTTGTTGACTTGGTTCAATTGTGAGGGTTTCTGTTTTCATTGCATTGCAGTGCAACCCATATTGAAAGCTGTGGTCTTTGGTCTTCATCGGTATTTCAAGACCTCAAACAAACAAGGTTGTGTCAGCTTCATATTGCAGGGACCTTAGAATCATGAAAATTAAAAGACTTGCAGCATTCCTATGAGAACTGGAATCCAGAAAATATTTAAAAATTCTCTGATAGCTGACCAATAAGAAGACCCACAGCTCAGTTAAAAATGGGTCGGATTTGAACAGATGCCTTTTAGCTGAAGATTTACAGACAGCCAGTACATGTGGAGTCCTAGTGTGGCGCTATAGGGTAAGCACTGAACTGCTAACTGGAGGGTCACTAGTTCAAACCCACCAGCCGTTCCTTGGACACTCAGTACGGAGCACTACGAGTCAGAACTGACTGGACAGCTCGTAAAATAACAACAGAGAATCAGATACTCATAGGGTGTCACCCAGCAAAGCCGCTGTGAGATACCCGAGCCACGTCAGTGTTGTGGGTTGCCACTGACGATCCCTTATGTGCAGAGTTGTTGTTGTTGTCAGGTGCCATCGAGTCAGCACTGACTCATAGCGACCCCATGCACAGCAGAACGAAACAATGTCCGATCCTGGGCCAACCTCACCACTGCTGATTGTTGTTAAGTGCCGTCAAGTCGGTTCCGACTCATAGCAACCCGGTATTGGATTTCCGAGGAGTGGCTGGTGGGTTTGAACTGTTGACCTTAGGGTTCACAGTCCAGTGCTGATCCTACAGCACCACACCAGGAGCGCTAAACCATTTGCACCACCAAAGGACCTTAGAATCGCCGTGTTTAAAAAGACAGACAGTACCAAGTGCTGGTGAGGGTGTGGGCCAACTGGAGCTCTCATTGCTGGTGGGATGGCAACACAGTGCAGCCACTCTGGGAAACAGTGTGACAACTTCTTATCAGGCTAAGCATTTACGGTGGTGGTGGTTACGTGCCATCGAGTCTGTTCCAACTCATAGTGACCCTGCATAGGGTTTCTGATGCTATACATCTTTACGGGAGCAGAAAGCTTCATCTTTCTCCCCTGAAATGACTGGTAGATTAGAACTACTAACCTTGTGGTTTGCAACCCAGCTCATAATCCACTGTGCTACCAGGGTTCCTTGAATTCCTTTTGTTGAATGAAACTCAGAAACCCTATGCTGGGTAAAACAAGTCAGATGGAGAGAATACCCGTTGTGTGCATTGTTTACGTGAACGGTAGCAGTCAGACTCAACTCTAGGAACAGAAAGCAGACCTCTGGTTCCTTGGGGCCAGTGTTTGGGGTGTACAGGGTGTGAGGGAACTTTTTGGGGGTGATGGAAACCTTTATATCTGGATTGGTTACACAGATGTGTGCATGTGTGCATTTTTCAGAACTCATCAAACTCATAAATTATGCCTTACCAAAGTTAATGCTTGAACCGCCAACCTTGCAGTTCCTATGGGTCTGGCAGACTAACCCACAGCACCACACCAGAACTTTATTAAAGTAGCAATAGAAACAGCAGATTTTTTGTTTGTTTTTAATGAAGGCTAATAGCATTCCAGAGTCCTGCTGTGGGCTAATGCATCTGACTGCAAAGTTGTTTGAACTGCAAGGTCGAAGGTTTAAGCTCACCAGCTGCTCCTCAGAAATCCTATACAGGGTCACTATGGGTCAGAATTGACTGGATGGCACTTAACAACAACAATAGCATTCCTAAGCAGGATTGCCTTGTAGGTAAACTAGAAAACGGCAGATTTCCTGCAACTGAAGATTTTAAGTGTCTATCCTTGATATGTAGTTTCTACATGCAGGCTTTTTTTTTT